TGAGCAGCCACCATGGCTGGCCACTGCGGTGGGCCAAATTAAGTAAATTTTAAAAACAAATCCAGATCCCAATTTTCTAGGGCAGTTCTACTTCTACTTCTTCATAAAATCCCTATCCCCAAACATCCCACCATCTCCTTTTATATACTTCCCATGCAAAGACTGGGAAACTCCCTAGCTCTAAGTTCCTGTTTTCTCTGACTTATGAAATGGATAGGGTACTTAATTCAAAGAACTGTTGAGAGGATTAAATAATTTGTCAATTATATAGCAGAGTATGGCAGAAAGAGGCGTTTGATAAATGGCAGCTATTATTCAGGTGAATAGATTTGCTTTAAATGTGTCTAACTTCACCAAGAAACTCACACACCGAGGGAGCACCTTTTGCTCCATCAAACTGTGCGAGTGTGTGGGTCCTAAACTCAAGCCTTGCCAAGCGGAGCTAGAGACAAGCCCATGGCGGCAAGTGGTGGCGTCAACACGCGCTGTGATGGGAGGCTGTGTTGTCATGGGTTCCGGGCACCACTTAATGCTTCCATAGTCCTTTGCTGTTCCTCTTGATAGCAATCACCACATGTATACTTAAGCGATTCATTTGCAGCTAGTTTGATGTCTTGGTCCCCACTTGGAATGTAAACTCCACAAAGACCATTTGAGGCCCCATCCAGTGTCTGTCACACACTAGCACTCTCTATGCACTGAAATTAACATCTGGACAAGAAAGGAGGCCTGGGTTCCGATGCTTTCTACTTTAAATTGGAAGACCTTAGAAAGATTGCCTTCCCTCTCATTCGGTCTCCATTTTGTCATCTCTAAAATGGGGGTTTGGACGAGATCTATTAGGTCCTTCGAGCACAACTGATGCAGTGGAGAAGGTTGAAACGTCTTCTGGCTAGGTCGTTTGGGTTTTCATTTCAATACGCTTCGGCCGGCACTTACTGTATGCCTGGGGATCTTGTGCTCATTCTGAGGCATGTAGATAGGAGCACATCCCGCGCCTTCAAGAGTTTTATGTCCTACTTATTTATACCTTACTTCGCTTCAGGAAAGATTTAAGATAGAGCTTATCATCTCAGCAGTAAGACTTTTCCAAGTATGCTCTGTGGAGTATTAGCTCTGTACATTCCTCAATAGCAAGATCCTGAGGCCAAGTTTGGAAGACATTGCCCACTGTAATCTTAGCCTAGAACGTCCTGACTCTTAATATATCAAGGGCTCTGAGAAGTCCTGCCATAAAGACCTTGGCTCAAGTACCAGGCCATCTTACAAAGTGACCTCAGAACTTTTACTCACCCTGAGACGGTTCTTACACGATTCCAAGCCCACAGGGAACCCCTGATCCTCTGAGCTCTGCTGCTCTCAAACTGCCCCAGGCCAGGTAGTCTCAGCGCAGGTAAGGCTAGACGAGCAATCTTGGGACTATGAGGGGGCTTCAAAAAGTGTGTGGAAAATTTCCATTATCTTTAAATTCATTTTTCCACCTGTAGACTCTTTGAAGCCCCCTTGTCCACTGTCGGCTGGTAGTTTCTTTAAACGTCCTGCGTGACACCCGGAGGATCGCCACGGTCCCGTTGGTTTCGGAAGGACTTTGAGTGGCAGGGGTGAAAGAGCTTGCTCTGATCCAGCAGTTTGCGTCTGGGCTGCCCCGACTTGCTTTAGGCAACACGAGAAAGCCTCCTCCAGAAGGACTTGCTGACTTCTAAAGCCATCTGTCCGTCCTTACCCACTGCCGGGACTCGTTTATTCTAGAGACCCTGCAACTCATCAGGAAGTCAGAAGGCGCGAGTGACATTCACAATCCCCCCCAGAAGGACGCGTGCCAAGCATTTGCTGGAGCCAAAATAATGAGATGTTAAGGTTTAGAGATGGGCTCAGCTTTTCAAAAGAAATGATGGCCTTTAGATGGCAAGGGACCACTCTATCTTCAACCTTCTGCTGAAGCCTCAGAGGTCCCCTGGAAGCTAGCATCAGGTGTGAATGGAGGATTCTCAGGACCCAAGGTATGCACTTTTCAGGCAAGTGGCAAAGGGCTGTCCCTTACAAAATGCCCCACTGATGCTTGCTTCCCCTTCCTCTTCCCTGCAGTCACTTCCCAAGATAAGACGACCATCATCTCGTACTGGGATGACAGCACTAGCCTAACTGGCCACCCTGCCTCTAAATCTTACTCCTCAGTCCTTCACCCACGATGCAGCCAAATCGATCCTTCTAGACCACAGTTGTGATCAAGTCATTACCTTGCCCTTAAAATCTTTCAGGGGGTTGCTAGGACCCTTAGTTTACGTCCAAAATCCTGGTCCCCCTGCTTCACTTTGGTAGTTTACCTTGCTAAGTAGCCAGCCTCTGTTGGAATCGTTTGCTCTAGAGCACTGGCACCCCCAGAGCAGGGCCCACTTCTGTGTGTGGGATCCATATTGCTTGTCGCTGAGGAAGTTCACTGCATATGCTTAGTGAATGTTTGTTATGTGGTCTCCACCAATGTCACTGGAAAGCCAAGGAAGCAAGCTGACTTGTCCCGGCACATCACGTTCTGTAACAAGTCCAGAACTTACACAGCACAGTCCCAGGTTGGCCAATAACCATTTGACAGCGAAAGCCAGCTATGATTCATAGGGCCAATCTAATTAAGAGTCTGGTGATGATCTTTTCTGGACTGGAGATCAGATCTGGTAGTTTGAGAGAGAATAAGGGCCACTTTGGAAGAGCCGTGGATTGGAGAAAAGGAATAAAGGGGCATTTGGGGGGTGGTGGTGGCTTAAGACATAGAAGGTAGGATGTTTGAAACATGGAGTGGACTTTAGTGTCCAAAACCTAGCCTCTGCCACTTAGTCAAAAGTGTGACCTAGGATGATTCAACACTTTCAACTGCTTTTCCCATAAAATAAATATACACATATTTCCTTTGTTTAAAAAAATTTCCCAGGACTCACAGTGTGAAAGCTTCATGAGGTAAGAAAAAAAATCCTATGAAATAGAATATTGTGAACTGGAGTCCATCCTGAAGATCCCACTGATGGTGATGATGCATGAATGCCTCTTTTAGAGAGGCTCAGTGGTACTGATTCTTTTGTGTGCTGCAAAAGTTTATTTCCACTTAGAAACAGCACATGAAACACGAGGACGCTCACTGCTCAGAACCAGGCACCGGTCCTCCCAGCCCCGAGCAACACCTTACTGCCGGTGGCAAGGACGGCCCAGCTGAAAAGCAGTTAGCCAGGCTTATGCTGCGCCAAAGCCTTGCCAGTAAGGTTTTTTCCCTTCTTCTTTAAATACATTTTTTGGTGAAAGTATATGTATCCATAGGTGTTTTAAAACAGCAGCTACTGTCTCCTATTAAAAGCCAATTTATGAAAAGCATTATCTTTTATCATTTCGTAAACTGGCTAGTGAAGTCTTTCTCCAAATTGGGGGTGAGGAAGATGAGGATGGTCAGTGGGCTGGTGATGATGGCAGACAGCAGGGCTAACATGTGAGCATCGGTCCTGCCCGTAGGCTGAGCACTGTGCCTCCATGACTTCTTCCATGCTCACACTAGCCCTGTAAAGTAAGGGTCTTTTATCATCCTCCTGGTCGAGAGAAGCTGAAGTTTGCCAAGGTCACCTGGATGGGGAAGTGCCGGACGGAGTGAAGCACAAGCCATCTGGTTTGTGCCACAGGGCACGTCCATATGGAGACCCAAGACCTAGGTTCACCAGGCACAGTGCTGGGATGAAGAGGAGGTGACGGACACGGCATCGTCATTCTCCTTGGGGAGTGGAGAGTCTTTAAGAAGCACACTTATCTGATCTTTCTGAGCAGCGTTCTTCAAGCAAAGAGCTCTATTTAAAAAACTAGGTACCACCTAATTAAATTAATGTAAATGTTTAAAATGGAAGGAATTACTTTGCCTAGAGGGAATATTCTTCTAAGATAAGACTTACCAAAGCCAGGTGTTCTCTGAAAGGGGTGAAAAAAGCTGACCACACATTTTCTAAAGTCTGTTTTTCCCCCTCATTTCCACAACCAGGCACAATAGCTAGTGGTTAAGTATTCATGGATGGTTATTGAATGAGGGAACATAAGACCAGGATGTATCATTAAGATTTCTTATTTTGCATCTGTTTCTCAGGCCACCTGCCCTGGCTGCCAGCACCTTAATTCTGATGGACCAGGGGCTTATAGGTGACATGGTGGGGTCACAGGGGTGAGGGGTATATGTATGTGACACGAGGGAAAGACAATGGCACAATGGCAATGTCACAAACAGATCTTAGCACCTAAGTGGGGCAGGCGGGTGACACTCCAGGAATATCAACCACCTTGTGACCAAAAGCCCTAGGCTGTGACAAAGCTGGGGAGGTGGCAGGGTCTAGGCACCATGCTTATGGGGTGTATACACATTATTACAGACACATCTCTCCTTACACACACACACACACACACACACACACACACACACACACACACCAGGCAATAGAGGAAGGAAGACCATACCTTTAACTACCCTATCCAGATAGTGAGCTTGGGAGAGAAAAGACAGGACATGTAAGGTAGGATCGAGCAAGTGCAATACTACCTGCTACATAACCATGCCAGGTGCTAAGGAGACAGAGGGGGATTCACCCCACACTTGGGACCACCAGACACAGGACAACACCGAAGAGGAGGTGAAGGGAGAGCAAGCACATTCTTCATGAAGGGCCGAGGGACCCTTTGGCTCAGTCAGTGGCCAAGGGATTTGGAAACACGATCACAGACACAAGACGACACACGGAGAAGGGACATGGGAAGAGGGGGGAGATGAGAAGCTGCAGAAGTGGCCCTACTCCCTCTCCATCAGACTGGGCTCAGCTTTATGAAAACTTGAACCTGCCCTTCTGTGCTCCTCACTGTAGAGCAAGCAGCTGTACCCAGAACAAGTCCTGCCTTGGCCAGAGGTGTTCTCGGGCAGCTGGAATCTAGGAGCCTCACAAATGTGCATCGTCTCTCAGCGGGTTCCACTAGATGCAGATGTGGGATCTACCAGCGTCTTTGGTCAACTATCCTGCTAGGTCTCATCTGTTGGCCTTTCCTGACTTTTCTATGACCACGTGTGCTCTCGGAATGCTTGGCGTTCAAGCAGAGGCCTGCTTGTGCTGGGCATTTTACGCAGAATGAAAGGTGCAGGTCAGGGGATGTCCCTGTAAAACCCAAGAGAAAGAAAAGATCTGACTGGTTCTCAGCGCTCACTAATGTAAAAGGTGGGAGGAGGTAGGTGTTGTTTCCCAATACAGGGGCTTGTCTCCAAGCACCGAATCACTCGTCCATGATTTGGAAGGATGTCTGTCTAACGCTCTTCCGAAATAAACCCACTGTGCATACCTGTGCTGGGCCCGGCGCAGCATGAGTTCTGTGCTAGCACACTGTCAGCAGTTCAAAGCTGCCAGTTGCCCCTCAGGAGAGACATGGTTTTCTACTCCCGGCCACCCCCAGAAGTTCTCCTCTGCCCCACAGGGTTTCTCTCCATCGGAATTGATTCACCAGCTGCTCTGAGGGTGAAAGGAGACGGTCCACTCCTGTGAAGATTGATAACCACAGAAACCCAATAGGGGGGCACTACTGTCCGTAGAGGTGAGCGCCTGGCTGTGTGTTGACAGCAGGGTAGACCTGTTGGTCATTCTCAGCTTAATGTGCAGTATCTTTCACCTTCCCTACCGAGACTGCTGACAAAACCGACTGAGAAGCTTTTCCGCTTGTGCCCCCTCCGTACAGTTCTCTGTGGTGCACGCTTCCGTAAAGGGCGGACGGATTGCAATCTCCGGAAGGGGCTGATGCCTTCTGGCAGGCCAGACTCATTCTCAGCTTAATGTCACACAAGGATCAGAAGTCCATAAAATAAGACTGGGCTGGAATTGTGTGGCCTTCTGTGGAAGCCCTGGGGCTCTATTACCTGTAAGAACATTCTTACTCTCTTCAGGAAAAACAACGAGGACACAAGCTTTACTTTTTGAATCTTCAGACAGACACTGTTGTTGTTCATCAGTAGCTATTGGCCTCAAAAGACCGGCGGACGAAAGGCCACGTCTCAGCTGGATGCCCATGTGGTCTCTGTTGCGAGCTGAGCTATGCTCCTGGAAACTTGAGAGGAGGGGACTCTAAGTGGGGCTGCCTCCTGCCCTTCGTCTTGAGCCTACACCAGGGAGTCTATCAGGGTGCAGGACGGAGGAAAGGAGACAGGCAGGAGCGTGGCTTAGGAAGCAGGAGCGAATCAACGAAGCTGGCAATGCCAAACTATGGACACCAGGGGCAGCCCAGGGAAATCGCTGGCCAAGGGGCAGACTGTCTTGACTCTCAGCTCATCTGGATTTTAAGGCTCAGCCCAACCTCTTTATCTCATTTTGCAAGGCAGTCTGAAGTCTCTTTAGGCATCGCCTCCTGGGACACGTCATCTCACAGGAGCAGATGGGCTCTTCCTGGCAAAGCAGAACACTTTTAGCTTTCAGATCTGCAGGGCGGTTTTTTTTGTTTTTTGAGAAACATAATCACAAATTCTTGTAATGACTCCAAACTCAGCTACAAAGGAGACACGTGAGTCTAGTTCTCTCTCACAGGGCTGGCAAAGATGACAGGGCTGGATGAGGCACCATCGTTGGGATCCAAATGGCCGCACCGTTAAGCAACAGGCACTATGAGAGAATTTGCGGGCAGGAAAAACTTCTTTGATTGTCTTCAAACTTATGAGCAGTCTCAGGGCTCCGGTAATAAGTCAGGATTACATCAATTCTATTGGATAATCTCTCCAAGCCTGGGGGCAGATTTTGGAAACCGCTCTCTCTTACACTGCTATTTCATGTTCAAGAATTAGACAATAGCAAAAATCAGTTAAAAGCAAGCATAATTTAAATACCTTTAAAAATTACTGTGTACTAAGTTTTCAGATGGGAGGCATGAATGGCATGATGGGAGAGCCTGAGGGATTCTTGGATTGCAGTCAACGTGGTGGAATTTCAGGAGATGGGAGCAACCATTTAAAACTTCCAATCTTGACACCACAAATCAGAAGGGATTCTGCTCCTGCACATCAACCTGAAGCCGCACTGAATCCCCGTGTAGGAACAGCCAGCCAACACCGAGTCCCAGTTTTCTCGGGCTGGAAGAGGACATCCTGGTCTGGTCTCCGGCGACTGGAAATGGAAGTGACAACTGGACCTTTAAAATCCAAGGCATATGCAGAAAGCCATAATGTCACTGCTTTTGTTTGGGGAGAAGTCCTGACATAGATGCTTTTGAATGTGGTCACTTAAAAATTCATCACGGCCTCCTAGTGCCAATTTTTGGAAAAGATGATTTCAAGTCTGTACGTTTACATGATGGAAGGGGGCTCAGGGCTTCATGAAATCCCCGTATCATCAGGATTTTATCGTGAAGAGGATGGCGGTGGACAGTTTATCCTTTTGACAATTCATGAATATTTTTTTCTGTTCCTACTGTATTATTGTCACTGTGTGAGAAGCTAGAGATCATAGTGTTGTTTTTAATGCAGACTCTGCACCTTTGGCCTAAGGTCTTAGATCTCTGGGGCATTTCTATACCCCCATCATTTAAAAAACAAATCCTTCCCCTGGCTTGTATGGACCACTGAAGTTTCCCAAAGCGAGGGGAATCCCAAGAAGCGTCAGAAGGTCCTCATCAGAAGTGAGGCGGAGCACAGTGCGTGGCTCTTTCTGCTCAGCCTCCAGCAACCTCCCACCCATGCTCCCAAGCAGTCCTCGCTCACAGAGACCCTACAGGGCAGGGTAGCACTGCCCACAGGGTTTCCACAGCTGCATCTTTACCGACGCAGATGCTGCATCTCTCTCCCAGAGGGCTGACCTCCTGGTGAGTCGCCAAGTGCTTTCATGGCTGTGCCACCAGGTTTCTTCAGGAGCCTCAGCTTGACTCATAGTCGAATCATCAGCACATGAGGCCAGAGCACACAAGAATTGTGCTTGTGGCAGTTCTAATCAGCCGCACTTCTTTCCGATGGAAGGACCAATCACCCAGTCGATGTTTCTGCTGAGATCCCAGACACAGTTCTGCTCATGTCTCTTTGGAAGGGAGCGCAGTGCCCAACCACTCTCCTCCAGCTGCCTACCACCTGTGGGCTGACATCCCCCAGAATGATCTGCACAACAAACTGCTGCTCAGGTAACTGGAGCAGATCCCTGTACATTTCCCCTTCCTCCTTGTCAACAGCTGTCTGGTCAGGTCGCAGGTCTGTGATGAGGGACGGCGTTGGCACAGGGGCTCTGACACCTCATGAATGATTTGTGAGCTCTCCGGTAGAACTGTCTGATGGCTAGAAGGAAACCCACGTGTGGAGGCTCAAGAGTGGACAGAATACTCCAGAAGACTTTGTGGCCGCTCGCGGATGTTCTCGTCACCGTGAGGTCTGCTTTGCTCACTTGGTAACTGCATCATCAGAGGGTGAGTTTGATCTTCTTGCCTAGAGGACGCTTCTGCTTAAGAACTGGGATTTCCCGGATTGAGCAGTTCTCCTGAGGGCTGGTAATTAAGGCGGTCTCTCTGGAGCCTTGAACAATCACAGCTTTGGGGTCAAGGTTGGAATGCTACAAAACTAATCAGAAGCTGGTATTCCCCACACATGGTTTGAGACGTTATTAAAAGGGGCACTGAAGAGACTAAAATGTTAGTTGTGTTTTCAAAGAAGTAGGAAAGACTTAGACACCTTCTCACATTCAACTGTGTGCGTGTGTGTGTGTGTATGTGTGTGTGTAAGTTTTCCTGAAAGACATCTGAGGTCAAGTCTCAGACTTCAGGGACCTACAAAATTCCTGTAAAAGACAATGAAAAATATTGTCTTGCATTACTCTTGAGTTGCCTGAAATGCAGACAGATCAACTCATCTTATCTTTGTGACCAAAACAACAACAGAAAAGCAAATAAACAAAACCCTGGGTTTTCTCTGTACACATGACAAGTATTAGTGTTGCACTGAGGGCTAAATAAAACAAAAACCGGCCTCCGGGACAATTTTAGAAGCAGGCAACTCAATGTCAGACTGTAGCTGGGAGGGAAGGGCCAGTGCTCTGTCACCGCAGGAGGGAGGAACTGAAGCCCCAAGCAACCATATGGTTGACTCGGAGTGCTTTCCCCAAAGTTCTTGCAAAAAGATAAATTCTAACTCAAGAAGTTAGACTCAATGTGAAATATTCTTGTTCTGATTTAAAAAAAAAAGTCATTGAAGAGGGTCTCACTGTCAAATTCCTTTAGACTTTGATCCTGAAAGCCAACTCCTCTGAGAAAAAGCAAGTCACTTCCATCAAAGAGCCCTGGCTGTTTAGTGCATTACAGATTAGGCTGACCACTGCAAGGTCAGCAGTTCGTAGCCACCAACTGCTCCACAGGAGAAAGAGGAGGCTGGCTGCTCCTTGCAAGAATTACAGCCTCAGAAATCCAAAGGGCAGTTCTACCCTGTCTTAACAGGGTCCCTATGCTGTGAGTCAGATTCAATTTCATGGCCGTGAGTTCGGACTTTGGTTTTGTCCCAGGAAAGAAACGGTGGACTGATGGACCTGAAAGAAGGCTGCTAATTCCCACTATGATGATCCGCTCTGGGAAATGTCACTGGAGTAAAAACAAGAACGTTTACACCGAGGCCTTGGCCATAAGGAACCCAGACTTGTCTGATTTCCAGGAAGGCAACCAGGCTGCTCTTACTGTCTGTGCAGGGCTGCACCAGTAGCACGTCCATAAGCAGGCCCTGTGCGCTCCGCTTCCACTGCACGGAGGGCTCAGGATCAGCCTCTCTGACACGGACACTCGGCACACCACACGCAGCAGATCTGCACCCTAAGGACCTGCTGTCGAACCATACCATCTGACTGCAAGACAACATTTAACATTGGCTTGGCGTTCTAACTTTTCACATCAGCAAGTTGGGGGGTCGGTTTGTTTCCTAGATGACCCTTACAGTGAGTCTAGTTGCCCAGAAATAGAGGAAAGTTCTTGCTACCATCCACAATGAAGAGAAGGCCCTTCTCCCTGCCATGGCTAACTCAAGGAGAAAGGGCAGGCGCCCCCCACTGTACCCTCATTTGCCTCTGATCCAGTTATTAGAGTGTTCCTTCTGCAATAGGCTGCTGGGCGTCTCAGTGGGGATATGCAGCTGGCCACGGCACGATGGGGACCCAGAGAGAGCAAGTTGCCATGCAGGGGAAAGAGACAAGGACAAAGGAAATACTCACCACATAATGAAAGGTAACAGAACGCCAGGCCAAAGTCCTTTCATCTGAGCCACCATGCCTAGCCCGTTAGCTTAGGACTTCATCAAAGTTCTAGGAGATTTTTCTGGTCTTTATGAGTTGGGGTGAGTTTACCTTACTGGCAAGGAGAAAGCGCATCAGCAATTCCAAGGAGGGATTTGTTCTGAATGCATGACAACAGGGAGCGCAGGGGAGGGAGCAAGCAGACTTGACTTGCTGGCATACAATAAAAGGGATATACTTAAAGCCCAGTGGAAGAGCACCCCCTAAACACTAGAGGCAGCACAGCCGCCGGGAGACTGTCATGAATCCCTTGTGACTCGGCTCAGGAGAACTCCCTCCAGGCCTGGCCATGGGACGCCCATGAGATGCTTTCATCTTACCAAAGTCTAACCCATGGGAACTTCGTGGAACTTGGGAAGGTGAGCCAAGGACTCTGATTGGGTGACAGAAGGCAGAGTGGATGATGCTCTCTGGCCTTTGCTGAGGGGCTGGGCCGGGTCTAGGAGCATGTGCCTCTGGTGGGACCATAGAAGGCCGGCCTGTCCCCAGGCATGTGGAAAACTGACAGTGAGGGGGCAGCAGAGTTGAGAATGACGCCCACATGCACCACCAGTGCAGAGCGAAGACCCGGCGCGGCATTCTGCCGTGGACAGGCAGCAGCAGGGAGGGCGGGAATCAGCTTGGGAGTGGCTTAGTTCAGAGGGCAGCCTGCAGGACACCAGAGGAGGACCTTTGGGGGCAGCCACAATAGTTAAGACGTGGCCTCTGGGGAGGAGGTGGATCACACGCCTCAGAGAAAAGCGGGGCTGTGTGGAGGAGCTCCCTGAACTGAAGCCCCCCCAGTCCAGGTTCAAATGCCTGTTACACCACTTCCAAGTGGGTCTGATACACCCTTTCACAAAGTGCTTGCTCGGACTAGGAAGCCCTGCAGCCAGAGGTGTCGCACAGCCATTTATGAGCCTGGTGAGGTGCAGGGCCAGGGACCGAAGATAGAATTCAGTATCAGGCTACAAGACAAAGGGAGCAGCGTCTACAAAGCGAAACGAAACCAAACTTCTTTGTCACTGAAAAAGCTGGTGGCAGGGGGCTGCTCTCCCTTTCTCTATCAGACCCAAGGGGTTACTTTTCAGATGGGAGAGGCACCGAGAATCCTGCCTGCTAAAGCCATTTGCTTACCATTGAAGCACAGGGCGTTCCTTATGAAAGAAGAAGGAAAAGGGGCAGAAGTTACACACACACACACACACACACACACACACCCCAGCTGGTGAGTGTTCATTCCAAGATAATAAACCAAGCAAAACGCCTGGCTGTGTTTAAAATCAACAAAACCAGCAGGAAAGGCAGAAAGGAGGGGACAAGCGATCTGCCTGCTCTGAAAGCCACTAGCAGCGCCACTTTAGCAGGGGCCAGTGCTGTGGAGGATCTCCCGAAAGGGGGATGGGGACAAAGGCAGGCAGGGCTGAGGCTGAGGCCTGGAGAAGGGGAGCCCAGGCCTAATGGGATGCAGATGTGGCCCCTGGGTCGGTGGGAAGCCTTTCCTGGAATTCCAGGCCTCCTTGGGAGTTCCGATCTTGGAGGGTAGGGTGAGCAGAGTTCTCACAAGCTCAGCCAGAGCTAACCCTACCAAGCAATGATAACAGAGTATTAGCACCAATGGCTCCATTTAGCGAGCACTCTCCTATGGACTAAGTTCTTTACAAGTCGTCTTCTCTCCAGATTCTAGCTGCAGAAGGGAGTCTTGGTGGTAGTGTACCCTAAGCAGAGGACAACTAACTGGGAGGTTGGTGGTTCAAACCCATCGGCCACCCTGAGGGAGAAAGATGAGGCTGTGTGCGTCCAAAAAGATGGGACAGCCTTGGAAACCCTCCATAGGGTTGCTGCTATAAGTTGCAATCCACTTGATGGCAGTAGGTTTGGTTCGGTAGATGAGGAACCAGCTAGAGAGGTGATGGATCTGGCCCACGACTTCTAAGTGATGGCATCATCTGTCTCAATACTGGTTGGCAGCTCCTTAAAACTAATCTACGCTGCTTTCAGGCTCTTTCCTGGGCTGGGTAAGGAACGAGGCAGGCTAACCAGCTCCCGGGGACCTGAGAAATGCAGACCCGGAAGGAGAAGGTTGAAAATACCCACTGTCGGTTTAAATCCAAATGCTATCTAGCGAAAGCCAGTCGTAATGTTGCCAGATGAAAGGACTTTTGGCCCAGTTTCAGCATGCAGTGGGGGTCCAGGTGTGGCCCGGAAGACACAAGAGGCGCCATGCAGAGCCGAGGGGGTGGGCTGGGCCTCGGCTGCCCTACCTATGGTGCAGTGCTCGCCGTTCCAGCCAGGGCTGCACTCGCACTTGCCGTCCCGGCAGGTCCCGTGCTCCGCACAGCGCGGGTGGCAGGCACGCTGGTCGCAGGCCGCTCCCATCCAGCCCTCCTCGCAGCGGCAGGTGCCCCCCACACAGGTGCCGTGGCCTCCACAGTCAGCAGCACAGATCTCTGCAGGGGAGAGGAGGACGAAAAGGGAGGGGAGGGGAGGGTTGAGAGAGAGGAAAAATGAAAACCACACACACACACCGAGAAAGTCCTTGTTTGGAACGAGGGTCACGCTTGGTTACCTACCTAGGCTTCTGGGGGCACTTGGGATTCTGAGGCTCAGAAGACTTATTGTCTGTGCTCTTAGACAATGGTCCTCGGACAAGAACGACTCTAGGGGCCCAGTCTGCTCCGAGCCTGTGTCCCCATCAAAACCGGGTGGACAGACGGGCTGTCTGCTCTGTTTGCCTTTTCCCTTTGCCAGCCCGTCCCCGCGTTTGTGTTTGCCACTTCCAAAGGGGACTGGCCTTCCGAACAGATGTGAGGGAAAGTCAAATTTAATTAAAAAACCAGTGACGTGTGAATACAATGCGAGGATGAGTCTTGACGGTCAAGTGCCGTGAGTCTCGGAGCGTGTGCGGGGGT